CCACCATGCTCGGCTTCCAACCAGTTTTTAATAATCGTGTTGGCAGTGGCTGGTGATGCTATTTATTCTGAGACCATGGTGTCCTATAACTGATTGTGGTGATGGTCCAACAACTCTTTGAATATACTAAAAATCATTCAATTGCACATTTCAAATGGGTTATCCCCACCGCCCCAACACTTCCGTGAAGATGCGATGAGCCTGGAATATCTTTCCAGACTCCAGCGTGAGGAACTAGATGAAGATGTGTGTGTTCAGTGTGGAAACAATGTGGGGATGCTTTGCCCACCACGGGGACAGGGGGGACTGGGCATCATCAACCATCATGACTGCTGGACAGATACATATTGGGTGTGCCTGAATTTCTCCTTCAGAATGAGGGTCACAAACTCACCCACCGGTCATGTGGAGCATGCCATGAGACACACAGAGCTTTGAAAACCGGACTCAAACGCAGGAGTCACCTTTACATAGAGCTGGCAGGGGATTCTTCTCGCCCAACTCTGTGTTACCCCTTTGTGACCTTGGAGAGGCTGGCGAGTGTGGACAGCAACTGCTGTTCCCTGTGGCTACTGGGATGCCTTCTGCGGAGGCATGGGCCCTCACCGAGCAAGCAGCATTCTTCCACACAGGAAAGGCCTAAACCGCTTCAGATTCACAAGCCACAGAAATATCCTAAACGGCAAACACTTTTTCTCCAGCCAAGATGGTCAGAGTTTTAGGAGCAATTTTTTTTTTTTTTTTTTTTTGAGACAGTGTCTCATTCTGTGGTTCAGGCTGGCCTTGAACTCACAGAATCCTATTGCCTCAGCCTTCTGAGCGCTGGGATTACAGGCATGCGCCACCATGCCCATCTAGGAGCAATGATTCTTACAGGCCATATCCAGACCCTTGGGGCAAGAAGAGTTAGTTTAAATAATAAGAAAAAAGAGCACACAACAGACTGTCTGAGGCCTGCGAGGCCCACACTGCTCCCCGCCCGGCCTTTCAGAGCAAATGCACTGGTGCCGGGGCAGGCGCAGGGACTGTGGTCGGAAGGACAAGACACTCGGGAAGGCCTGCAAATACGTGGGGAGTGGGTGTGAGGAGGCCGCCGCGCCCAGTGGAGAGGACTGGCGGGGCCGTGATTCTTGTTTGTGCTCCTTGTTCTCCTTCTACTCAATATTCTCCTTTGTGCAAATGCTTGAGCTTGTTCCTAGTAAAGCATTTTAAAACTGGTAGGAAAGGAACGCAAGAGGGCTTACTTGGAGTGCCAGTGTGCAGACAGCTCACTGCCTGCAGCGCCCACCTTCCTCACGGAGTGTTAGCTGGCCCTGTGATGAGGCTCTGGCCAATGACATGAAAGTGACAATTTTGTGAAGTCCTCTAGGAAGGCTCCTTAGAGAAAGGGCACAACTTCCTATTCCATCGTCCCTGCCAGCTGGGATGTAGTCATGAGGGCTAGAGGTAAAGCAGCTATTCTGAACCATGAGGTGAAATTCACATACTAAGTATAGCAGGAAAGTGAGAATATCCCTGACTACTGTTTGAAAATGTCAGAGTAGCCTTCTGTGGTCTATCTCTGGATTTCTTATACATGAAAGTAGAAAAGTTCATTTAGAGGTCCTGGGCATTGAATGCAGGAAGTGCTGACCTACACCCTCAGCCTAATTTTTCTTATTTTATTTTATAATAGGGTCTTCTTACATTGTCCAGGCTGGCTTCAAACTTGGGATCCTCCTGCCTCAGCCTCCTGAGTAGCTGGGATTAAGGTTATGCACTGCTACATCTTTAATAAGCCACTTTAATGAGCTACTATACTTGAGGGTTTTCTAGTAGTCAGAGCTGAGGCCTGCGAGGGTCTAACTAACACCCTGGGAAGATATCCCTCTGCAAGCTCTCCAGGCACGCAGCCGAGTCTGGCACAGCAGCTCAGTTGTGGGTGTGATGGTTGAACAGCGGTTTCCACGGCAGCTCTCTGTGGACATTGGCTCAGGGCCTTGATCACTATGACAGGAAGTTGGGCGCAAACCTGCCTTTGGTGTCCTGACAGGCCTAAGAGAGCGAGGCAGAGTACAGAGTGACGTGTCTGAGGAAATTCCACGGGCAGAGTCAGGAGGCTGTGAAATTGGTCAGGTAACCTGGAGCAGAGCAAGCCAGTGTAGAACCTACCGTTTCTGTGGCGACAGCACCTACATTCACCATACTCTGTTACCATCTCAGTCTGCCTCAGGCCTGCAGGGCAAGTGTGTCAACACCTCCCTGAGCTCAGAGACGTGAACTGGCCAGCACCACCCTGCTAACTGGTGGCATCTGTGCAGGGGTCAAATGGACAATGACATTACTTGCTCAGGGACAAAAGTAATCTGGTTTTGAAACATTTTTCACCCCCGCATCGCCCTAGCAAGTGAAGAGACTGATGCTACTGCCATGGCCTCCTCTGTCCACGAGCGCCGCTGGGTCTGACACCGAGGAGGCCCCTCCTACTCCAGGACAGCACGGCAGGCATCCCTGGCCTGGTGCACAGCAAGCAGAGTTCTGGCCAATCACAACCTTGCCACCAAATGCTGCTCAGCTGCAACCTCAGGTTCCACACCTGTGAAGGGGCAACCACGCCCACCTGGCGTATTATAAATAGTAGTGGGGGTAGTGTGCAAAAAGCGCCCAATAAATGGGGTTGTCATGCCTAGAGGACATCAGTGATGAGTGCAGTGGTGTCAGACCTTACCATCTTGACTGACTCTGGCTAGAGAGGCTTCTGGTAACAGGACCAGGCTCCGCCTGTCCTTTGGGCACTGGCCGCCGCTCCCCAGGGGTGAGTGTCTGGTCACCCTGGCGTGGCCTGGCCACCTGTGCATGCTGATCCCTCATGCCACCCTTCCCTGCTGCTTTCTACCACACAGCTATGAGCTCTTGTTGGTGGCTCTTGGTGCTCCCAGGCTGTGCAGGCCTGGGCCAGCGTAGCACTGTCCCCAATTCTGCCGCATGGGCGTTCTTGTTAAGTACTTCTCAAACAAAAAAACAGCTGAACTTATAGAGCACCTCACCTTGAGAATCCTTGTTCTATTTAAAATATTTTTAAAACAATTGTGGAAAAGTGACTTGCTCTCAGACACCGGTAAGTAAGCTCAACTTCCGTAACACCCTCTCTCCTTTTATCCAGGTCAGCGGAAACTGAAGGACATTTCTAGTTCAGCCGTGTTCTTTCCCCTGACACCACAGTGCTGTGGATTCCCTACAGAATCTATGTGGGAATTTCACAAAGCTTGAGTGGAGACTCAGTCTCTCTTCTAGCTATCTGAGCTTGTTTTGCACATCCCATCAGAGTCAGTTTGGGGGAAGGAAACCTAAACAATGTCTCTGTAAAAAAACCTGACAATAGCATTTCCAGAAGCCTGGCCAGGAACAGCAAGGGTGGGTGAGCCAGGGCTCTGCTAAGGAAGTGGGACCCGGATCGCACTGCACCCTGCCCTGCTGACCACAGGAGCTACCGGAGGACCCAACGGGGTGATGTAACTGACCGAGCTCCAGATTCCCGAGGGCACTGTAGGTCCCTTGGGCCATGCTCTCTGGCCTCACTGCTCAGACAGTGGATGACCCCGTCACTTGCTGGGCTAAAGAGGTCCTGGGAGCGGCGAGAAGTCGAAGCCACCATGCCACACCTCCCTCTGACTCTCCGATCCCTGGCAGTCACAGCAGCCTTGCCCTACAGGGTCCATTTAGGAGCACTGGGTCCGCCAAGCAACACCTTCCCAGCCCTGCCTCTGTGGCTTAAGCCCTTCAGAGCCTTGTTCTGCTCCCCAGAGCTCCTGAGGGTTGTCACGCCTAGGGGGTGGCTTTCAGGAGCTGTGCCGCCTGGCTGAGTGGGAAGGACGCTCTCCTGAGGGGACTGAGAACCTCAGCTGTAATTTTAGTGTGAGGGTCTAGAGAGGAGGAGGGGACAATCCCATCCAGGCTGAACTTGCAGAGCACACACCAAGCACCAGCACAATGAACAGCAGGCTGCCCCTCGCGCTTAAGATGCCCAGCACGTGCCAGGCTGCTCAGAAAACACCTTTCGTGTGCTTGACTGAGTCCTCCCTGCCGCGCCATGGGCCATACCATTACTCCACCTGTGCACGGTGAGCTCAGTAAGGCGCCGTGCAGCTGGGGGAACCCTCAGGGCCACGGCTGGCCCCCTCTGCTCTGTGCCATGCCCCATCCCCCTGCCCGCAGTGCGGCCCCAGGGCCCTGCACTCTCTCCCTCCTCGTGCACTATGACTCGTTTTCTTAATGAGGGTCTGCCCCTTAGACCTCAGCTCTAGAAGCTCTGTGGCCTTCGCTTCTTACCTTAGCTGTGAGCACTAGTCTTCCCTATGATGTAGTTTCTGAGCCCTGAATAGTAACTAGTTAACAGCAAGGATATCAAATAAACACAGGTAAGTTCTTACTCATCTCATCATGCTCTCCTACCCAAAATACTGCAAGTCCCCAGAACACAAATAAAAGCAGTTGACGCACTGGGAGTTTTGCCAACCACCAGAGCAAAAACAATCTCCAAGGCAGGCCTGGAGGCACATACCTGTCATCCCAGCATGGTGGGAGGCTGAGGCAGGGGGAGCTCAAGCTTAAGCCCAGTGTGGGCAACTCAGCAAGACCTTGTCTCAAGAGCATATTTTTTTTAAAAAGGAAAAGGAAAAGGAAAGGAAAGGAAAAGAAGGGCCGAGGATGTAGCTACGTACAAAGAACTTAGATTCAATCCTCAGTGTCACACACACAGAAATCTGCCCTGCAGTTTGTCTGGCTGACAAGTATGCTGAGCCACAGTTGTGCACGCAGACGTAACACGACGCGCTCTCAGGCTGCCTGCCCTGGCACCTTCGCAGCTGTCCGCACCAGCACTCGGGGCTTATATGAGCCACTCGCAGCGTCCCGGGGGGATGATGTCGCTATGGGACAGAGTACGCCCACGCCAGCGCCTCATACCCAGCAGGCTGGCAGGGCCTGGCCGGGACCAGTGCCTGCAGACCCTGCACCCATACCTTCACTCCGTCCAGCACCGCCTTGATGACGCCCTTCACCGTTGTCACCATCTCCTTGTCCTCTGAGTTCACACCTTCCAGCATCACCTGGTCTGACCACCGGATGAGGTTGGCGAGACTCTGGTACACTCGGCTGTAGCAGGACGACAGAGCTGAGCTAGGGCCAAGAGAAGATTTTTATAGAGAATATTAAAAATAAATATAAAGCACGACCATCACTTCGAGATATCCCGTAGCACAGAACCAGTTTTTGGGGGGCCACTGCTTACTTATCAATGTATTTTTTCTTTTTTGATAGGTCTCCGTGTGTGGCCGGGGCTGGCCTCGGCAATCTTCTGGCCTTAGCCTCCTGAGTGCTGGGATTATGGGAGTGCACCACCAGGCCCAGCCAATACCTTTTTTAAGGAGGATCCATGCTTTCTTGAGTGGTACAGGGGATTGAAGTTGGTGTGTGTGGGGGGCTCTACCAGGCCCTGGAAGCTACATTTCCAGCTTTTTTTTACTTTGAGACAAGGTTTCTTAAGTTGCCCGGGCTGGCCTCAAACCTACGACCTTCCAGCCTCAGCCCTGAGTGCTGGGACTGCAGGTATGCACCGTCACACGTGGTTCCACACCGCCTTTTCATGACCCTTTTTCCCCCCTGAGCCTTTCTCCTAATATCCAATACAGGGGGCTTCATTTTCTAATCTGTGTTATAAAGATTTTTATCTCCCCAATATACAGAAATCCCATCATAAGCTTTTCCAACTTCATATCCCTCCATAAGACTCTGAGGCATCTCTCAGGCAGCACCTGTCTCCCTCCTCCAGCTGCTCACCACTGGACAGGTCAAAGCCCCGTGCACCCCTTGGCATGAATCAGACGAAAGCCACTTGGGAGGGTCACAAAGAACCAGCTGGTTTGTCTGTTTCTTTAGTGGTGCTGGGACTCAAAGCCAGGGCCCTGCCTACACACGGTCTCTCTTCCCTGTGCTGCCTCTCGGCTGTGCAATCATAACAGGCCTTAAGGGTCCCACCACGCTCAGAACAGAGCTGTGTGTTTTGGACACCTGCCCTCAGCTCACGACCACTGCTGTGTCTCACGGTGGGCGAGCCAAGGTCTCTTCCCTATGGGAAGGAGCACTTCCGACAGCCATCCTCGCCCCTCTGTGCTCACAGGGTGGTGGCACTGCATCCACCCATGCCAGGGTGCTTCCAGCCAAACCCCTACACGTCCAGGCTGAGCAGAACTGCAGGGGAAGCCCCAGATGGACAGTTCCGTGGAAATAAAGATACTGCTTTATCTCTGAGAAGAAAGTCGAGCTTTGCTGCTGAGTTCTGAAAGCTGATCATCAAAGCTCAGCCCCACTGGGCTAACTGGGCACCAAATCATTTTGAGAATCGAAATACCTCCCCAAAAACGCTTCTGCCGGGCTCGCATTCGAGATTAGGCTCATGCTGCTGACTTTTATAGACAGAACAAGCAGCAAGGGGCAGGCAGCTCACTAGCCTCACAGAAGAAAACTCCAGCAGTAAAGACTTGGACCAAAGCTCCCCGGGGCAAAGTCCCCACCCCATCTGGGGGTCCCTGCCAGTGCACCCCATTCATGCTCTAACAGGGCCCCCCGGCTCTTCTGGCTGACCATCTGAGCAGCTGCGAGCGCTCCTGGCAGGCCCTGATGGCCTGATGCAGGGCAGCTAAGTATGTCTGGTGACTGCAGGAGACGCCAGGAGAAATGTATCTGCACTGACTGCTGCTGATGAGCTACTGCAAAACAGTGCTGAGGTCACAGGGTGGCTACATCCTGGGACAGTGCAGACCTGCCTCAGGAGCCAGGCTTCAGGGAGATATCAGTCGCCACGCCACACATGGGCTGCCTGGGGACAGCTGGGCAGGCACTGGGGATGCGGAAAAGTTCCCTTCCCAACTGTGCCCCCAAGCACCTGCGAGCCTCCTGGGCCCGACAGGCCAGGACTCACCTCTGCTGGATCCGTGGGTCTGTCTGCACCAGGGGCAGGATGGCCTCTAGCACCTTGCTGGCCGAGCCTGGGAGCATCTCCAGCACCTTCTTATCAATGGCCATTTTGTCTACAATGGTCTTAAAGTAGCGCAAGGCACTGACCACTTCCTTTTCTTTCTCTTCCAGCCAGCTCAGGTTCTGAAAGGAAAGGTTAAGCATAAGGAGGGAGGGGAGGATGAAGGGGAGCTGTTCTGAAAAATACAATTTCCTCTAATCTAGCTTGAGAGCACTGGGAATGGAACAGACTATAGAAATCAGGCCAGGTGGTTTTGCTCTGGCTGTGATCAGCAGGCAGAAGCCGGGCCTGAAGGCAGCAGGGACGCTGAACCCCTTCCTGCACCCCTGGGCCCTGACAATCACTCTCCTCCTCATCCTTGTCAGCCACACCCAGACAGCACCACTAGCCCCATCCAGTGAGTAAGGTCCAGTCTGCTGCCAGTGGGGGAAGCAAGGCCACGCCTGCTGCACACAGTGAGGGGAGTCTAGAATCACCGCAGGCCCCTCCATTGGAGCTGTGTGCTACTCCCCAGGGGGCCCTGCAACCCAGGGCTGGGAGAGGCAAGGAGGGAGCGGGGCTGCTCCTAAGGAGGAGGACACAGAGCCCCACGCTTCTGCGTGCTTTCCTTTCCCAGTGCAAATCCCCACCCCGACTCTTTCCTCCCTGCCGGCAGAGATGGACCCTTTCGCTCCTCCTCCCCAGCCTCCCTCTGGAGTGGTGATGCATGCCAGGGGCAGGAAGTTGAGGGTGATCTAGTGAGTGCAGGAACCTGCAAGGGCAAGATCTCCCAAGTCAAATGGATGAGAGGCCAGCGCAGAGGAAGAGTGGTGTGTATGGGAAAGCAGCCACCTGGACTCTGAGGGGCCCGAGAGTGTAAATAAAAGCAAGTGAGGCCAAGGGCGCAAGCAGCCACCTTCCAGGGAAGTTAACTGAATCAGTGTATAGACATGTCAAAAATATTACAAAAAGTGGTCATGATTTTTTTTTTTTTCGTTTTTTGAGACAGAGTTTTGCTATGTACTTCAGGCTGGCCTTGAACTCACTATGTAGCTCGGGCTGGCCTCAAATTTGCGATCCTCCTGCCTCAGCCTTCTGAGTGCTGGGAGTGTAGGCCTGCACCACCACGCCCAGCCCAAAAGTGGTTATGATTTTGTGCGCTAACTTTTCTTCTAAAATGATGGTGGATATTTTAAGTAAGAAATTCCGTATTTCATAGGAACATCAGAAGAAAACTACAAATGTATAGGATCCACAAGGAACAGCGTCCCTGGCAGAGGACCTCCAAAGTCTCCCTTGGGTCTTCTATGGACCCCTCCCCAAGGTGTCCTACAGACCTCAGAGACGCCCCAGTGGGGAGCACGCCCCTCCTGCCTGTCGCGGGTCCTCTGCACACGGCTCTGCTGGCTGTTCTCATCACACGTTCTCACTGCCCGCCTGTCTCCGAGGGGCCAGGTGCTGCTTCCCCACCTTCTGGATAGGCGCGCGGCCCAGTGCCCTGGCCAGGAGGAGGCTGCGAAGTCAGGCTGTGTGGTGACCACAGACACACAGAGTGACCAGAGCCACAGTCGCCCTGGGAGGACCAGATAGACGCTGCCACCCTGGCACACCAGGAAGTGCCAGAAGCCAGCAAGGATGACACTTGGCACAGGAACAGGAATTCTTTTAAGAAGATGTGTCTCCGAGTGTCTAAGAGGGAAAGGGGTTGACCTGGGGGGCGGGAAGCACTCAAAGGGCAACTGACCTCAGCGGGAACAGACTGGGAATAGACTCTTCTTGCCCTTGCAGAGATCAAATCAACCAGGCAAAAGCCGGGCTAACCAATGACTTAGCAAGGTCAGGCAGCACCCAGTGCACTCCCGGCTGCACGGCCTCTGGGGGCTGCACCTTCCCTTGCCCATCCGCTGTTAGGTTGTGGCACAGGTCCAAAGGGCACATGGAGATACCCACACCTGGGAACTCGCTGTGGCCGTGCTGACACTGCTTGGCCACAGAGCTCACAGCAGCCCACGTGTCCATCTGTACACTCTCTGGCTCATGGCATCACCAGTCCCCATAATTCTGCCAAGTCCAGGAGGCCACCAGTCCTTCGAGGTCCGGCCCCGGGGCCACGCCGTACTCCCTGCCTGCCTGTGTCACTACTGAGGTCAGCGCAGGGGCGGCAGGAGGATGCGAACGGAAATAGTTTCTAACACTTAACAGATGTACACCGAGTCAGAGGCTGCACATCTGCTAGGCCAGAGGACGCAGGCTCTGACAGGGAAGGAGACAGGCCAGCCCACAGCTGCCACTTGCTGGAAATTCCCAGGTGCCCAAAGCACTCATGCTTTGTGGGGTGCCCTTTGGTTTGGGGCTACATCACACTGTGGGGCAGCGTCAATCGTTTCACAGGCGAGGACACCGAGGCGTGCTGGGGACCTGCCTGCCACCCCCCAGTAGTTGTGGTGGCCTGAGCCTGAATCTGGTGTATCTGATTCTAGAGCTTGGGGAGCCAGAGGGTAAAAAGACATTAAAGATGTACTGGAAGAAGCAAAGAAATTCACTAGGGGGAAAAAAAAAAAAAGAAGAAATTTACTAGGAAGCCCCAGGTCCCCAGCTTGAGTGTCATAAATGAGAAGGCGGCCCACGTGGGAGAATTGGGACGCTTTCCTGCCGGGGTCAGTGTCACCTCGACACGGCTGTGCTTTGTAGTCAGGGCAGAAGACCTGGCCATCCCCAGCCACTCCTCCACTCGCACCTCAGCCCCCTCTGTCCACCGCAGCCCGCTCCGGACCCACATACCCAGCGCCGCTCAGGACCCTGCTGGGACAGCGCACTACACCTGCGCTGGAGGCGGGAGACCGCAAAATACAAAGCTGGCGTTGGGGCTGTTCACAGCTTTGCAGCACTCCTCCCAGTGGGCCACACCCAGCCAGGTAAGGAGCCCTGCCTAGCAGCCTCCGGCTCCTCCCGGCTATGTTTCACAGAGGGGAAAGCCCTCAGCAGTCTACTCGAGCCCAGGGTCCAGTCTGTCCCCAGACCTCTAGGTTACCTCTGCACAGCACCAACTCCATCGTGTGCGGCCATCAGCTCTGATGCTCAGTCTGTGGCTAAAAGTTTCTGCTACTTTAACATTACAGCTCATTGGGGGGCTTGTTAATAGCACTGAAAAGTTTCTACATTCATCTCCGCAGATATAAAGACCACAGAATGTAGTGGGAAAACAGACTTTGGCTGGCCAGAGCCAGCACTGTATTGGGGCTGACAACAAACCCTTCTCTACAAGGTTATGACGAGGAGCACAGAAACGGCGCCGGGGACAGGGCCTGGGCACACGGCGCTCCGTTGAGTGGCGAATCTGCAGCTATACCTCCATGAGCTGGCTTCAGCAGCCCACGCGTGTGGGCGGGGAAACACACGCAGCCGGCCAGGGTAAGACGGGAGAGTGCGCACACCCCCTCTGAGCAGCAAGGAGGCTGAAGACAACCAGCGGCACTTGCACTGAGCCCCAGGGGCCGCCCACTCTGTGCAGCCGGCAGACGGGCGGGGCCCACTCGGGGCTGGCGGGCTCCAGGGTGAAGGCCTCGCCTGCAGCGCCTGGAACACAGCAGGCCTTGCCTGGGCGCTGCGGCTGTGCAGGGCCAACGGTCACGTGCTGCAGGGTGCTGCTCTGTGGGCGGAGGTGCTCACCGTGTCCCCGGTCCCTGCCCCTAGACACCCACTCACACTGCTCCACCCTCCTATGGTGACCCCTGGAAATGTCCGGGCACTGTTAAGGGTCTCTTAGGGTTCATCTGGAGGCACCCCACTAAGCAAAGGGTGCTTTCAATCAAACTATCCTTCACGACTTCTGCTGGGGGACTGAATAAAAGGGGAAAAAGTTCAAGAACAGAGTGAACAGTTTCTGGACAGTTGACCAGCAGAGCAAAGCTGTCAGCAAGCATTCCTCTCTGAATCGCCCGGACCAGCGCTGGGGGCCGGCTCATCTCGTCCCTGGAGGCGAGCCTGCCAGCCCAGGCGGTGGTAACGACAGCTGCGGCAAGGCTGTGTCTTCCCCTCACGCCTCCCTGTGGTCTGGGGCGCAGGTCTCTGGTGCCCGCTGACGGCTTCCCTCAGGTTCTTCAGCTTCCTTTTGCTAACAGATGGGGGAGGAGAAACTGCTATCCACAAAGGACCTGTGGACTTAAAACCTTTATTTCTCTCTACTTTAACTAGACTTGTAAGACATTCTGCTAGCCAATTTAAAAAACAAAAGCAGATGACTTTCAAGATTTAAGAACTCTGGCGGGGTGTGGTAGCACACACCTGTAATCCCAGCACCTGGGAGGCTGAGGCAGGAGGACTGTCTGAGTTCGAGGCCAGTCTGAACTACCAAGTGAGATCCTGTCTCAGTCATCCTCCTCCCAAAAAAGAATTCTGAGGGGCTGGGGATTTAGCTCAGCGGCAAAGCGCCTGCCTGGCAAGAGCAAGGTCGTGAGTTCGGTTCCCGGTACCGGAGAAAAACCAAAAAAAAAAAAAAAAAAAAAAAAAAAAAAAAAAAGAATTCTGCTTCAGTAGCAGGACAGATAGTGTTTGTCTATACTATCTAAAGCTGACGGCTGGACAACAGTCTTGGGGTAAATGATCACCAGAGGATGCAGGCTGTATTTCTTGACAAAGCTTATTTTGTTTGCTAAATTTATTTGTATATAGAGTTGTACACTGGGATTGTTTAGGTCTGTGAGGTGTTCAGAGTAAACTCTGGTTTTCTTAAAGAAAGAAGGGAACACGGTGAGAATCTAGACTCTGACGTCCAGCAGCCCTCACTCAGATCTCGCCACCACCGTTTTGCTGTGTACTGTGGTTAAAGGCCTCTCTACAGACTCAGCTTCCTTTTCAGCAAAACGGGTCTCCCCTGTTGGCCACCGCGCCAAGTAAGAGAACCACTTGGCACGCGCTGGGAGAGGCCCCGCCGGCATGGACGACACCAGTGCCCCGGCTCTGAGAGCTCTCAGTCTCGCAGGTAGATGGCTGAATGCACCCCTGGGTGCTCAACACCCTCCTCTCCTGAGCCACCGCCTCAATGGCGCCAGGGAGAACAGCTGCTCTCAGAGGGGAGACTCACCCACCTCCCCCAACCTGCTGGGCTGACAGCACATCCAGCCTGAACACAGCCAGGACCCCGAGTGTTCACTGGGCTCTGGTGCTCTCTCTGCAAACGGGGGAGCTTGACCCACTCTGCTTCTGTCCAAGGCCCCACGGACTCTCCTCAACACTTCAGCCCACAGGTGCCACCCAGTCAGACGCAAAGATTTCACAAAGGTGCTTTTCCAGCCCCAGACCACGGGTCAGGGTTCTGTAGTAGAAGGCAAGGCAAACCCCATTGTTCTTAAGTCACACTGACCTTCTGCCTCTGAGACCTGGAAGCCACAGCACTGGTGGACATAAATTCTACTGCCTGCTGCTCCAGATCCAAGGGGATAGGGTAGCCCTCTGGTAGAAATCTGTCTCTTGCCTCCTGGAAGAGAGGAAACCTGGATTCCTACAGAGCTTGAAATGGCCGTTGTAGGCTGAAGGGAATGGCAATGAAAACCAACAGCTGTTTCAACACCTCTGGCTCGGCTGGCCCTGCTGGGGGTTACTCGTGCTAGAGGGCATCTTTGGCTGGCCTTGGAGGGCTCACCCGTTAAGAGCACGGGCCCTGGAGCTGAACAACGGGCGTTCTGGACATCACAAACCTCCCTGTGTGTGAATGTGGCCAGGGAGCGACCATGGCACACTGAGGGAGACACAGCAGGGCAAGGAGGGCCGTCCTAGCCCCTGGCTGGACGCTGATGCACAAGTGGCACTCACCGTGCTGAGGGTCCCTATTTCAGGACATGAAGGCCCGAGGGCCGCACTCACAAACGCCGCAACTCGCACTGTTGGGCGCGGCGGGGAGGGAACGCCAAGAGGCAGCTTACCTTGTTGACAGGCTTCTCCGGGGTCTTCACGGACACCTCGGCCGGCTTGCCCTTCTTCGACGGCGTCCTCTTGATTTTGGGCGAGTGGAATTTGTCCATGAGCTTCATGGTGAAGGAGGAGAGGTGGGAGCGCTGAGAGTCTGAGAACACAGAGGGCACTGCTGTGAGAGGAGCGCACAAGGCTCGACGCCCTGAGCTCCCAAGGAGTCCCCCACCCAATCTCCCGACCTCGGGCACTCGGGGAAGAGAACGCAGATGCTCTCCCGCTTAGCTTCTGCAACTTCTGGCAAGGTGAGCTTGCTCAGAGTTGTGGGCTTCGAAAGTGGCCAGGATGGGCAGGGAAAAGGAACTGTGAACACATCTAAGTGCCCTTTACGAGTCCACGCAATGCCCAGCCAACGTCTGAGGGGCGTGGCTAAGAGGAAAGCAGTCAGGCAGAACTGCACAAGTGCAGGACGTAAGAACCAGCGAGGAAGCCCTCCCAGACAACTGCCTCATTCCTGGTGCAAGAAACTGCACCGAACGTGGAGGGGAAAGGAAAGAAGGGACAAGAAAAGGAAGGGAGAACAGAAGGGAAAAGTGGAAACAAAGCCTTGTAAATAAGGAGGGGAAGAGGGCATGGCGGGAGGGGAGGGGAATGGGGAAGAGAGAGGCAAGCTACATCATGCAGAGATACAATTCCCTATGATGAACGGGATCATTATGTGCATCTAAAATGTACCAAAAAAAAAGAAGAAAAAGAAAAAGAAAAAGAAAAAGAAAAAGAGAAAGGAACTGCAACAAGTGACGCAGCCAGGCCCCAGGGCCGGCAGGAGACTGAACTGGAAACAGCATCCATGCTGCCGTGGGTGGGGATGAAGGGCTGAAAGACTTCCCCTAAGATCCAAATGAGACAGGAAGTCCGTTCTCATCACTCCCATCTGACACTGCACTTGCAGGCCAGTTGGGCAGAAGAAGAACAGAAGGTACCCTGACTAGAAGGGGCGACACAGACTATCTCTGCACACGCCATGATCTTCCACGGGGCAAGCTCAAGCAATCCACTGCACTGTTAACACCAGGGTGGGGATGTCGCCCAGGCCACAGTGCCTGCCTCACATGCGGGGGGGCCCCAGGTTCATTCCCCAGCACCGCAAAACTAAACAACCTACAAGTGTTAGTACTAACAGTCAGTCAGGTCACAAGATGCAAAATCAATACATAAACAGCAATTATATCTCTAAAATGAAATTTAGAAAGTTTCATTTCTAAAATGAAATCATCCAAAAAAAAATCAAAATGAAATCATCCAAAAAACAATCATCCAAAAAAATTGAAATGAAATCATCCAAAAAAAAAAAAATCATCCAAAAAATCATCCAAAAAAAAAGACACTTAGACACAGATTTAACAAAAATGTTAGGGGCCGGGGATACAGCTCAGCAGCATAGCGCCTGCCTGGCAAGCATGATTTCAGTTCCTGGTACAAAAAAAGTAATATTTACATACTGAAAACTGTAAAATATTGCTGAAAGAAATTAGGCACAAGTTAAATAAATGGAAAGACGTGTTCACTGTGCAAAAATCTTGCTGTTATGATTCCAATACTCAGCGATGATAATTTGCAGTCTCTATGAGAATTCCAGCTGGCTTTACCTAATCCTAAATTAGTATGGAAATACAAGTGATTCAAAATAGCCAAAACAAGTTTGGAGAAGAGCAAAGCTGGAAGGCTCAGGTCTCAATTTAAAAATGAACCACTGGAAAGCCATACTGCTCGAGACCGTGGCACTTGCATGAAGGCAGACATACAGCTCAATGGTACAGAACTCCAAGTTCAGAAATAAGCCCATGTATCTGGCAACTGATTTTCAAGAAGAAAGTCAAGACTATTCAGTGGGGAAAGGAAGAGGGTTTTCAACAAATGGGGCTGGGAAAATTGGACAGTCATGTGCAATAGATGATTTTGGATCCCTATTTTATATCGGATACAAAATGAACTTAAAAATGAATCAAAGACCTAAATGTAAGAGTTAAAACCAAAACACTCTTAAAAGAAAACCCTGGAGTGCTTGTGACCTTGGATTCTACCACGGCCTCTGAGAGGTAACTCCAAAATTTCAATCAACGAAAGTAAAAACAGCTGGGCATGGTGGTGCACACCTGTAATCCCAGCACTTGTGAGGCTGAGGCAGGAGGATCATTGCAAGTGAGGCCAGCCTGGGCTACAAAGTGAGCTCAAGGCCAGCCTGAACTGCACAGCGAGACCCTGCCTCAAAAAGACAAAAAAAAAAAAAAAGTTTTAAAAAATACATACACTGGATTTCATCAAAATTAAACATGTTTGTGCTACAAATGATACCAACAGGAGGCGGAAAAACAATCTACTAGGTGGAAAAGAATATCTGTAAAGCACGAATCAGACAAGGGATTTCTAGACAGGAAGTAAGAGAACTTGGCTGGAGATGTAGCCCCATGGTAGGACACTTGCCTAGCACGCATGAAGCCCTCCCTGGGTTCAGTCCCAAGCACTGAAAAACAAAATGAAACAAAACCAGTAAAAAATAAAGAATGTTTGCAACTCAACAATAATAGACAAGTGACCCAATTTAAAGTGAGAAAAAACACAGACACTTCCTCAGGATACACAAACTGGCAACGGCACAGGGCAAGAGGGACATCTTCGCTCTTTAGGGAAATGTAAATCAAAGCCTAACAGGTTACCAGGTACAATGAAAAATAGGCAGCGACACCAAGTATTGCTGAGGACTGGAGAGGCTAGAGGCCTCCTGCACTGCTGGTGGGGATGTAAAATGGTGCCGCTGGGCTGGGAAACATTTGGCAGTTCCTCGTAAGATTAACAAACAAGGCCCAGCAAATCTTCCCAGGCACACATCCCAGAGAAATGAAAATGTATCTCCATGAGACTGGCACCAAAAAGTTCAGAGCAGCATTTTTCCTAACAGACAAAAGGTAGAAACAGCTCTTATGTCCAAATGTCCACAGATGAATAAAATATGGTATATCCACAAATGGAATATTATTTGACCATGAAAAAGAGATTAAACACTGACCCATACAACAACATGGATGAACCTGGAAAATACCATGCTAGGTGATGGCAGCCAGTCACAAAAGGCCACCTGTTATAGAATTCAATTTATTTTAATGTCCCCAAGGACTGTGAATGTGTTGTTTGTGCCCTTTTTCCCAGCACAAACACGGTACCTGGCCTACAGATGTTCAGTAAACACTCAAAAAAATGATCAAATCCACTAACTGAAACACCCCAGGGAGTGGGGGGGCCTGCTTTTAGCAACTGCAACAGTTCACAGAACATACTTAATACTGGCTGAAACTCAAAGAACAAAACACTCTCCTGTGAAATGAAAAAACAGAGTTTTAAAAATTAAAGAGCACTCCAAATTTTCTAGCTATTTATTACTTAAGAAAAGAGGGCCAGGGATATAGCTCCGTGGCACAAGTGCCTGCCTGGCAAGGACAAGGTCCAGAGTTTGATTCCCAGTACAAAAAAACCCCCTCCAAATAAGTGTTAAATCACCCCACGCCCACCCCACCCCCTACTGAAAAAGAGACAGAGGACTGTCTACCACTGGTGCATGTGCCTTCATACAGCCAAAGCGCATTCCCTCGGGCAGAGACTGCAGGTGCCAGACGAGCTCGCAGAAATCAGGTCTGCCCTCTGCAAGGATCAAGGAGCCCGATGAGGAAAGCAGCCAGATTCACTCACAGGCAGGGTCCGGCTGAGCACCACTTCAGAGCCAGGTGCTGGCCAGAGCCACAGGAGCCCTTTTTAGATGGGCTACGCATAGAGAGCCACAGGAAGCAGCCTCACTGGGGCAGCTAAGGGGTGGCAGCTGCAGCCTCCTTGGGCTTCTGTGGTGGCTTCCCGCGCCCTCTACCCACCTCCAACAGGTAGGTCTCATTGCTGTTCATACTTCAGCAATGAAGTATTTATTGTCAATGAAGTATTTATTACTTAAAATAATTATTTTAACACCCCAGGGAGTGGGGTGGGGTGGGGTGGGGGGTGGCTAAAGGGGGCGGATGGCTTGGAGGCTGCCCCTCTAGCTCTCAGCTGCTTTGTCTTGAAAACTGAAGATTTCATCTTTGAGTCTGCCTTTGTGAAGTGGAGTAAAGGAGATGCTGCTGGGCGTCATGCATGACACACACTGTCCTTGGGATTCGTATCATCCCTGAGCTACTGGGCTGTGGCATGATGCTAGCTTAGCCCCAGCTCCCCTCTGGCCACACCTGTACAAAAGGACACAACCCAAAGGAGACAGCCAAACATGTGGCCAGCATCTTGGGAACACAAGTAAAATTACATCATCTACTCAACGCTTTCCTATAAAATGGGCTCTGTGTGAGACAGTCTTGTCCAACCGTAGGCTGACGGGAGCGTGTTGAGCGCAGGCAAGGACAGGAGTCTAAGTTAGGGCACGCTATCGTTAGTGGAGTAAACGCATTTCTGACTTGTCTTTAATCTGCAATGGGCCTATCAGATGTGGACACTCCCCCCCCCCTTACAAGTCAAGGCGCATCTGTGCTCACCTAAGTGCCTGCTCCACGGTACCTGCCCAGCACAGGGAGCTCAGCCAGCTATTCCTGGGACGGTTGGCAAGGCTGCCCATGCACTGAATTCTTAGCGTCCAATGATCTGTTGCTGGGTCACTGTGGAGCGCTGAGCATGCAGCTCACTCTCCCGAATACATGAGGGCCTTACAGACGCCCACACCACTCTCTGTTCAACGGCTCCACTCCAGCGTAACCTGTCCCCTCTGCACCCATCTCAGCGCTGCCCCAGCCGCCCCGTCCAATACCAGCCTCATGACATCATTAAAAGACACAGCACGCCCCTCACCAGGCAGGCTTTGAGCCAGAGTGGATGCTGAGTAAGTTGCTACTCTGTATGAGACCAAAAGCAGGACAGCGGGGCAGACTGAGTGGGGAAGTCTGGGCAAGAAACATGGCTTCCTGGTTCGCTGTGGCGGTCAAGGTCTCCAGAGACCTGGGCTGGGTAAGCCAGCTCCCACCTTCTCCACGGTCTGCTGTCTTGAGCTGAGTAAGGCAGGTGTGGGTCCAGGGAGCAGGCCAGGTGCAGAGCCCCAGCCTGATGACCAAGGTGGAACCAGGGTAG